GTGGAGGCGCACACACACACACACACACACACACACACGTCTTCCCACTTAAATTCTTTGGCCAAAAAAACATTACAGCAGCCTTGACAGATACTAAATGATCTTTTCAAATAATACTCCCTGGTGATGAATGTTGCAGCTCCGCAGCCTTGTGCTAATACAGAGTTTTCAGCAGTGAACAGGCATCATTTGACAATCCTGCATTAACTCTAATGACATGCTGATGGCCCTGGCACTCCTCGCTCTCTGGGATGCACTACCCCATCTGGAAAGAACTCCAGGGACAGAAGAGCCCAGCATGCTAAATTATATAAAAAGAATTATCAACGTTAGCAAAACATTAATGAAACATTAAACATAACTGTTTCGTAGGACAGTGTTGTTATTTACTCATTTTCTTGCACAGATTAGAGGAGTTATTTATAGCTGCTGTCTTTGGCCCTAATAGTGCCTTCTAGAATAATATTGCCCTGCTAAAAGGCAACAGGGTTTTCTCTGCCTAATCCTCTTTAAAAAGTTGTGTGGCCTGGGCTGCAGTCACAACGTCCTCAAGAAATCCAAGTTCCCATTCAGAGCAGAGCACTGGCATCTTTGTACACCCGTGGCAGGAGCACACAGCAGGGAGGGGCTGTGCAGGCATCCCCCTCCCTGGGCAGGGTCCTGCCCATGCCCTGCCAGACCAGCCCTCGTGCTGGGACAGAGGACATCCAGCTCCTGAACACCACCCAGGGTCAAAGCAAACCAAAACAGGAGCTGTCCCTCCCCTCCCCTGCAGCAGGACCTGACCTTCCCTCCTCTCCTGCCCGACAATTCCACCAAGGGAAGGCAGCTCCTTTCCCTGCCTCAGCTCCTGAGGTGCTAATGAAAAGGCTGGACAGAGCCTGTACAAGGCAATATCCCAAAAATATCATTTTGCTTCACTGTCAGCTGCAAGGGGTGAGGAACAAAAATAACAGCTCCCTAATTTAATGTGGACTTCGAATAAAAGCACTTCCCCTTCCATTTATCTACCTGTGGAGCTATTTTTGTCCAGTTCACTGGGAGAACTGCTACATTCTGTTATGCCTAAAATATTTTGCTTCTTTAATCACTGCACAGGGTTGGTTTCCACCTGCAGTAAGTGGACTGAGCAGACAAGAGAAATTTATTAGAGCCACCAGCCAGAGATCAAATTCATCTCTCATCAATTATTTGGGACACTATTGTTTCCAGCAGTTTCTCCTCTTAATAAAACTGATCACAGATGAATGTTTGGCTGCTTCTGTAGAAAATGCCAAGACTTGTTATTTCATTATACATGTATTCTTCTTACCTATATATTCTCTGGAAGGATTTTATATATAAGTGATGAGCATTGTCTGGTTGACAAAGTGTGACTAAAGTACAAGCCAAAGAGCTGGAAGATAAATTCATCCTTGCAGGGCTGCAGCTGATTTTCTATGCAAAAATTAATAAAAAGTGCTTTTCCTTTGCCCCTCTATCAGAGGCAGAGCTGGCAGTTATGTGTTTTGGAGAGAGGAAAAATAATAATGGAGAAAAAATCTGGGCAATGCCATCCCCTAATCCAGCACTGAAAGGACAACACAACCTTTGAACAGCCCTGCAGGGAAGGGCTGACAGAGTACAGGATGGCCTTGTCCCTAAGAAAGCTCTTCCATACACTGGGAACAAAATGCAGCATCAAGAAATATAGACTTAGAGACTACATAGAGACTACATTGCTTTTTTCTCTCTTGTAGGGCACAGGATATGTTCTCTTTTTCCAAAAAAAAAAAAAAAAAATCCCTTTGCAAGTGCCAGCCTACCTCTACAGCTCCAGAGAAAGGGAAAGCAGTCGGACATTGCAGGGCCAAGGAGCAAAGAGGAGACACCAAGAGTGATACAAAACCAGCCTGGGAAGGACTGGAAACGTGGCAGGATCTTCTGCCAGCTCCAGAGGGGCAGCAAAGCTCATCAGGAGCCACAGTCCTGCAGTGACAGGACCCACATGGGCTGGGGAGAACAAACTGCAGGCACAGCCTGCCCAGCCTGCAGGAGAGGGGCTCTGGCACAGGGAGAGGGGCTCTGCCATCCCAGGGAGAGGGGCTCTGGCACAGGGAGAGGGGCTCTGGCACAGGGAGAGGGGCTCTGCCATCCCAGGGAGCAGCCAGCCTGTTCCAGACCTGCCAGCTGCTGGGAGACAGGGATAGATCACAGGATTTATCACTGGAAACACAGATGGTTCTCTTGGAGGAGCCATCCTGACAGCTTCCCAGGAGCAGGAGATCACAGGGGCAGGAGTGAGGTGTCCCTGCCATTGTGGGCTTGGCACTGGTGGCACAGGGAGCTGCTGGGAACAGGCCTGTTTTATTTCCATGTGTCTGTCTTTGAGCATGGCACTGCCTCAGGGGGGATTAGAGTGAGAAGTCAGGGCTCCTCCCCAGGCTAACAGGAGCTCAGCCTCTCATAAAAGAGACACTGGCAGCTTTGGGGACCCTCAGCACGCAGGCCCAAAGCAAAAACACTTCTTGTCCTTGAATAAAGGGCTTTTGGCTGTTGCTGGAGGACTAAAACCATGCTCTCAGAAGGAGAAAGCAAAGAGAAGGAACTGAGAGCCCATAGAAGCACTGGAGAACACAGCACGTTTCTGAGGATTTTAAGAGTTAGTGAAAGTACCATGAGAAATCCCTGCAAGGGACAGACACAAGTGAAATCAGGAGAGAGTGGCCTGGTTGAATCTCAAGGATTTCCTCATGCAGCCTGTGAAGATGTATGCACCAAGTGTCATTTGCTCTGATTCAGAAAACCAGCTCCAAAACCTCTGAAATGAGTGGAGTCCTGCCATTCACCATGACGACTTTTGGATCATCTTTTATCTCACACAAGTCATTTCACCTTCTTTTTTACTGACTTTATCACTTTGGAAAGCAAGAATAAATAAATTCTGCTACTTGACTGAATTGCCTCTGAGATGTCCCAGTTCACCTTTGAGGCCTCCCAGTGGGAATTGCCAGGCTGTGTTATTACAGCCAGAGGAGTCTAAGAGCAGAACTGGCAAAGCACAACAGAAGACCTCAGCCTTAGATTAGATTAGATTAGATTAGATTAGACTAATTAGAGCTCCAGGTTCTAGTGGGAACATGGTGCTTACTCTACAATATGAAGAAATTTTCTTGATTCTACTAAAAAAATTGGCTAAAGAGATAGATGAAAAATTAAATGGCATAATGGCAAAGGTTAACAAACTCGAGGGAATCATTAGACAAACTGTGAGATCATCAGTTTTAAAAAAGAGCAAAATCAAAGATAAGAGAATTCAACTGTTTCAACTCAGTTTTTCTCATTTTCCTCAGCTGAGAAAACATCATAAACCCATGTCAAACACAAGTGCTAAATGGTAATTTCTACAGTATTTCTCCTTGAGCATTAGGTTTAAATGAGGCTTTATAAGGTAAAGGCTGGTGACTATTTAACCTGCTGTAGTGGAAAAGTATTTAAGGTATTAAACATGATTTAAAATTATTGTTATAACCCATCATTTTCTAATCCCTTAACTCTTCAGGAGGATTTTAAATAAATTATATAAGCTTTAGTAAACAAATAAATATACCATATAGGAAACGAAAACTGAAGATTACCTGGGAAGGAGAGAAACACACTGCAAGTGTGGTTTAAGAGTTTTCCAAAGTATCTCGATGAATTAAGAACCTAATTCCTATTTATGGAAACTCTTAGGAGCTACAATAAAGGACAGATTTTCTTCAGCAAAATTTTAAACTAAAAATACATGACAGAAGTACTTACTTTATGATTTTTATGACAACAAAAATACACAGTGCCAAAAGGCTCCTGGAGCTCCTGATCGCTTTCATTTCATTTCTCACCACAAAAGTGAAACAAGAGAACGAAGGGGAGATTATATTGCCAGCTCTCTCATTATTAATGGCCAAGGAAATAGCTGCCTTAATGCATTTGATTACATCTTAATAATCACAGTCACCCAGCTCCTTTTTAAACACGCCAGATTCTGTAACAGAAAAATATCTTTATACCGACCACAAACCGTTCAGCCCCGACCACTGACAAGTTGTGACAACTGCACTGAGCCTGCTGGGAGAGTGTAAATAGAACTGGCTTTGCACCCATGTGAGTATCATCTGTCACCAGGGCAGCATCATCGGGGCTCAGGGAGGCAGGGCTGGCCACTGCACAAGTTCCCCGAGGTGCTCTGGGAACCCTAAAAAGAGCAGCACACGGAAGGAAGGGTGCTCTGTAAGCATGGTCAATGCAAGAGCTGCCCTCTGAATTCCTGATGTTTGCAGGCTCTCCTCAGGGATGTCCCTGGGGGAAAAAAAAATAAAAAGTTTAATACTGGTAGAGCTGTGTGAGGAAAAACTTCTGCACCTAAAGTGTGCCCAAATGCTGAGATAGTGTTATCAAGTGTGCCAAGCTGTTAAGAAAACCTGATCTTTAGCAGAGAAATAAAAATCAATCACTGGAATGTAACTGAAACTTCCCAAGCTTGAAATAGTCTTTCTTGTATTTGAGCTAAAGAAGTGCAGAAGGCTTTCAGGAGTTGCTTGACTTCTTTTTTCCTGTTTCACAACTCCCCTCAAGGTCTTGGTCTCATTCTAAAAGCTGAGTGGCAAAAGCTTGCAGAAATTGCAGTGTGGCTCATAAACTGCTCCAGCCTTGCCCTTTTGTGTGGTGCCCAACAGAACTAAAAGTCAGGACTGAGCCTCCTTTGTGAGGAGCAAGTCAGCAGTCACCCAGAATGAGCAGGATTGCAAATCCACCCCCCAAGAAAACACACACCTGTCAGTAACAGCTGCCTCTGACCACAGCTTTGTGTTCTCCTTCACTTGCTGTGAAGTGAAAGAAAATATACATTTGATAATTAGATGTTTCTCTAATTAAAATAAAAAAACCATCCAAATAAAGTCACATACACCAGTTCATACCGTGGGACTCTGCACTCAGATAGTCTGCTGAGATCCAGCAAGGCAGTTTTTTCTACCCACCAGAGTTTCCTGTTGCCTAAAACCCCAGGAGCAGTCTCAGCTGCTTTCTTAGTCCCTCACAGGTGGTTGTCCAGAGCGAGATCCTAGAGGGATGGAAATGAGAGAAGTGCAAAAATGGAAAAAAAGTAAAACAATCAGGAAGAATCACAGGAGGAACAGTAGTTCAGCACTGCCCTGAGACTGCTGTAAAAGGATGCTGCATATGGGAAGGGAATAATTTATTCTTCATGTGCATGGTAGGTTAGACAAGAAATAAGGAGATAAAATTACAGCTAGGGAAATTCAATTCAGACATCAGGAAATACTTTCTAATGGTAAAGACTGTTATGTCCTGAAACAGATAGCTTGGGGACACTGGGGAATAGATGGTGTTGGTGGTTTAAAGAGGCAGATGAACTAAGTGAACTCCTCAGGCCTCTTCCAAGCCCATTTTCCTTTAATTTAGGGTAAATCAGCTCAAATTTCTCCATACAGTCTTGCACCTGAATGACCTCTAAGTTTGCAGACATGGTAGATGAGCTTAATTCTGAATTAACAGTGCCTAGGGATTTTTTTTAAGAACAGCATATAAACCTCATGATTATAATTATAGTATTTTATGATATACTTTTATCACAGTTATACACAGACTATAGCTCCATTTAATCCAAGAATGTCATTAGCCATCTGGCTACGTGGCCTTCACTCTGTCAAGAACATCAGCCATTTCAAATAATGGTTTTCAACTGCTCCCAAAAAAACATTCACTGGTTACAAGGCATCAGGTCTCTGGATTTAACTGCTTCAAACACTTCAGTGTTGCTCACTGGAATGGCTCAGTTCAGCAGTACTCTGGCTGGATAGTTTCTGATAGAGTGCATTGTAAAAATTCTGTGAGAGAAGCACTTTTTGGGGGTGATTTATTTAGTGGTACCACTTATTTTTATCGAAATCACAAGCTAGACAGTCGACCTAAAGAGGCAATAAAGGAAACCTTACAGTTGCCCTGCATGAAAAAAACAAAGAAAGGCTGTGGTGGTGGTCACTAAAAATCTGATCTTGCCACCCATTGCACACACTGGCAACAACCCAGCAAAGCACTTAAGTTTAGCATGCTTAATTTTAAGCATGCAGGTAGAGCCATTTAAACTAATGGAATCATTTAAGTGCTTTGCTGGATCAGGGCCAGCCTCCTCAGCATCTTGCAGTGTCAAGTATGCAGAGCAAGGGCTTCATCTAATTGCATCAGGCTTTAATTGACAAAAATCAAAGTAATGTAGCATTCAGGCTGAGCCCATCTCTCTCAGGCTGCTATTCTAATCACAGTGAGTAGCACAGGGTTTGTTCATGCTGTCCCAGTGCCTCAAGTGTCCTGTTGGATTTGATCCACCATGCCTCATCTCTGGCATAAGCTCTTTCCCAGCAACTCCTGTCTAAGTTTTCCATCCAGCATGCTCTCATCAAAACACCCAATTCGTTCACCTGCCCCAGTGACCACACTACATAATTATGTAGTCTTTCATACCAAGCGTGTTCTATCACCTGCTATTTTCTCCTCCTGATATACATTCAAGAGTAAGCTGTGCACTCTTTTTGAAAGTGATTTTACTTACTTTTCACAATTTTCCATGCATCTGTGAAAGTGCAAAAGAAATTAATTGGGAGGAATGTTTTGATGCTGCAGCAACTGAAGAGAGCAGATCACAAAATGGACAAGTTTGAAACCTCCATAACCTGAACCATCCCCCTCCTTACATATATAACATATCATTCCACTGCCAAGCAAAGGAATACTGTGCCCACAATGACACAATAGTCTCTATTTAACCTCTGTTTTAGCTCTTACTTGGCAGTTCTGAAACAGAACATTTGGGGGGGTGGGGGGAACGAATCAACACAACTAATTTAGCGTGGATGTAGAATTAACTTCTCACCACAGTGTGTTCCTTTAAACATAGTTTTGAAAGGGGAAAAAAAATGACACGTCTGGGAATTTGTCAGGCTGTTGCATTGAGTTAATGCAATTACTGAAAAGGGGTGAGTGAGAGCTGTGAGAGGAGTGTGGGCAGGGTACAGTGACAGTGAACTCAGAGTGCTCTGCATCTCTACAGCCCCACTCACATGAGCCAGGCCTTTGCCTTAACTGCTTTTAGCCAAGCATGAAACAAGTGCAAGGCTGAGCCACAAGCCAGAAACAGAAGACGCAGCAAACAAAATAGTAACTAGAAAGGATGGGAAGAAGTTTCCAGAAATGCAAGGAAAGTTTGTAACATCTTTAGTCATATTTTTCCATAGTCACCATTAGAAAATAATAATCTTTAATCTACAGTTTATGAGCAGACCCAGGTCTGAAAGGCAAATTTCTCTAGAAAATAGGGAAATAGTAAGAAATACTAAAGAAATATTAAGAGGGAGGTGGGAAGGGTCACGTAGTTGAACCTTGCAATGGCAGTATTTCTGTAGGAGCTCTCTGAAAATGTAATTGTGCCTTCAGAAACGCAACCACATTTTCCTGTGCCTTCTGCAGGAAGCAAAATTCTGCAGTTAATTGCTCAGGAAACAGCTTTTCGCAACAGCTAGAAACAAAATGCCACTGAACAGTGACCAACCTCCCAGCAGCTGAAGGAGGCAAAGCCCCCCAGGTCTGTCTGTCTCACCTCTTTGTGCTCTGGTAAAACCTGTGCTGAAACCATCCCATAACACAGGCAGGAAGGCAGGAATAATTCAAACACAGATAATATTTAACATATCAACAGATTTTAGCTTGCAAACAGGATTCATTATGCAGTCTGAGGAAACAAGGATGGCAGAAATGGTGTTGAGTTTCTTAAGCTCTTCCTTTCAAAAGGAGGCAAGAATGTGTAAGTCACATGCAGCAACTGGAATGATGCAAAATTTCAAACCCAACCTGAAATGGCTCTGTCTGAAGACTTAATCTGTCAGCAACTCTATAAATCTTTGATTTCTCTCATGCTCTTTTAGAATTTGAGCCTTTGTACACACTTATAAACAGGTAAAAAATAGTAAGCCTCAATGCAGACACTGAACTGAACATTAATTTGGATACAGCAGCAATTTTGGAACTCTAGATTGCAGGTACACCTTCACATCTCACTGACAACACAAAGTCATCAGCACACTTCTGAATTGGGTCATTCCTAACTCTGAATGGACACATGAGGTTTCCAGTTGCCCTTTGCAGCTACCTCACATGTAAGGCTCACTTTCTAAAATGACATATATGAAGACATAGAAATCAATTCCAGGAAAAACTAATTTTAAAATGTCAACAAGACTGTCTCTTAGCATTTGCTCAGATTTCATATCAAGCCCTACAACTCCATAGTGGCTGTTCTACCAGGGTGTTTCCCCCAAAACCACCCACATTATAGCTGTAAAAGAAATTAAATTTTCTTCCTTTTTTTATTTTTTTTTTTTTTGTGACTGTCCCACAGAAAAGGACTTCTAGTTATTAACTCGAAATGTAGCCTTTAATCATATCTGCTCAGAACAGGGCTGAAGCTGTGATGCAATGCACAGCTTTCCTGCACAGCATATGGTATTTGAAAAGCGAGTAGAAGGGAGAAACGACAGACAGGAAAAGGTTCAGACTTCTGTAGCCTTGGTTTTGCACTGCGTGGTAATTATACTGAAGAATTCATGACTCACTTTGGTGCACTACTGTGCGCTGCTAAATTAGAAGTTTGGCAAGGACACCAGACAAATGATGAAATATATAATATTGGTTTCTCTAGCATAGCTCATCACTATAGTCTCATGGTGTTTCAAAGGGCTTTTTTTAGCACTCTGGGAAAACAAGGTCTTTTTTAAACAAGAAAAACATATTGAATCAAAAATGTGCTGTAAGGAAGTCAGCAGAAATAGGTAAAATTCCTATTTAAAAAAATCAGCTTTTCAGGTAGTTTGAGTAATTGCTCTCTAAGACTTATTTCTGAGTCTACACAGAGCATCTAACATGAAGACTACTAAAAGCTGTTGTGCATTAAAGCATAAGTGCAATGTGGAGATGAAGCTCTTCCACTATATAACATTCATAAGAAAATGTTTTCTTTACACCAGCTTACAAATGTGTATTATCAAAATGATTTACATAAAGGCTCCCCAGTCATTTGACAACTGCAATGAGGCCAAGCACACTGGAAGATGTACACATTGGGGCAGCACTTAAGTTAACTCTTAAAGGCAAATCCTTTTCTCCCAAGGACTGCAGTCAGTCTGGAGTTATGCAGCACATTGGAATTAATCCAGTTTTGCCAGGTGCAGCCAATCCACCATGTAATGCTGCACTAGTTATTCTGATTTGTAATGAGAAAGAAGTGGCACCAGTCGTAAGAAGGAGGCACCAGCATTAAAAATATTTTGCTGCGTGACCCAGAATTAACATCTCAATTTATCCAGATAAAAACAAAACAAAAAAAAAAAATTAAAAAAAAAAAAAAATACCCAACTCCCTAGTAGGGCAGGGATGGGAACAAACTTCTATTGGGTTTTCCATATCTTTTCACAAATTTACTGCAACGTGCAAGTGGTCATAAAGAGTTTCACAGCAGCCAGAGGGTTTGACCATGGAGAGAGTTAAGATGTTAGCAGAAATCCTGCCTATGAAACTTGCCATTAACTGCAAGACCACCCTGCACAAACCTGGCAAACTCTCAGAAATACTGGATGTTAAAGCCTCCATATGCTAAACCACCACTGCTCTATACCATGCATTTTGTTTAAAGGCAAGCACAGAGATTGCAAACAGCTATTTTTAACTCTTTTCAGTGTACAGTACATCTGTTGTGTTTCTGATTTCCATTAAAAATGAGAGTCATTTACTGATCTGGCTGTTATCCAGATTTCTACATGAAACACATGGACTAAGCACAAAATAATGCTGTTTTATGTGCATGGATGCATGTATTGTATTTATTATCTACTACAGTTATCTAGTACAGTTAAAAATGCAGTGGGGACTTTGAAGGAACAGACTATCACACTTATCTTATTTCCTCAAAGTCTCTGGACTTAAAACCAATAAGAATGAGGCCGTGAAAGCTTTCTTTATGTTTACAAGCTGCTGCTGGGACAAAAAAAAAAT